TCTTTCCCTCTTATAGAGTCTTAATCATATATATGTACTTGCAGTCTAGCCTTTCTCATTTATTTGTATTACCCAATGTCTCATCAGAGAATTTGATATTTATAATTTAATTAGTTTCTGGGAGCAGTTTCGGGCAGAACACTCAGCAGAATTTGTTAATCTAGTTGCTTTTCTGCAGAACCTTGCACTAGTCTGACACACTGGTAGTTGTTCTGTTTTGTAGAATAGTTAACACTCGTGGGCTGATCTAGGAGCTCAGAGATCTACCTGATATTACGGGGACATCGTATCATTCCGGTTCTGTTCCCCTTGCCCTGCCATGCTTCTGCAGCAGAAGAGAATCAGGAATTCCTTGCCATTTATAGCTGTTGAGTTTATCAACTGACAATGTCATAAATTCCAGTTAAATTGCCTTGCATGTGCATATGTTCTTCATATGTTGTTAACACAAGTGTTACAGGCAATTGATTTTTCACTGTGGTCATTGAATTGAAAAAAGAATTATGATAGAACTCAATTTAAAACCACAGATGCCTGATTTTATGTATGCGTTTGTTTGTACAGAGACACACACACACACACACACACATACACACACAAAATTTCCCCACAAAAATTACCCTTGTGCCTTGTCCCTCTGATCTGATTTCTATTGAGTGAAATAGGATCACCTCTGGATGATGGTGAAAAAAGCAAAAGGAATGAAGGTCTTGGTTCACAACATTGGGAGAGATGCTAATAAAAATAGAAATAAAGAGAAACCATCTCAAGGTATAATTAGCTCATTATACTTGCACTAGTTTGATTTAGTCACTTTGCTATGGAAATTACAGAAGGGAAATAATTGTTAGACATAATTCTCTTGTATTTTAACAAGTTACATTTCTTGATAATTGTAATTTAGAATATCAGTGGGGTTCCACTAACAGAACAGCTGAAGGAAAAAGAATCGTTTGAATGAATCATTTTGAAATGTATGTAGGGTATGTCCATGTGTGAAACCTAAACTACTGGGGGTGTGTGGGGTGTGTGTGTGTTGTGGTTTAACCCCAGTCAGCAACTAAGCACCACACAGCCACTTGCTCACCCTCCCCCTCGATGGGATGGGGGAGAGAATCGGAAGGGCAAAAGCAAGAAAACTCGTGGGTTGAGATAAGCACAGTTTAATAATTGAAATAAAATATAATAATAATAATAAATTGTAGTGAAAAGGAAAACAACAACAACAACGAGAGGAACAAAACCCGGGAAAAACAAGCGAGCAACTGCTCACTACCTGTTGACCGACGTCCAGCCAGTCCCCCGAGCAGTAATCACTGCCCGCCGGCCAACTCCCCCCAGCTTATATACTGAGCATGACGTCATACGGTATGGCATAGCCCTTTGGCCAGTCTGGGTCAGCCCCCCTGGCTGTGCCCCCTCCCAGCTTCTTCTTGTGCACCTGGCAGAGCAGGGGAAGCTGAAAAGTCCTTGACTGGTATAAGCACTACTTAGCAACAACTAAAACATCAGTGTGTTATCGACATTATTCTCATCCTAAATCCAAACACAGCACTATACCGGCTACTAGGAAGAAAATTAACTCTATCCCAGCCGAAACCAGGACAGGGTGAAATTCTGATAAAGATTATTCCTGTGTAATTTCTCTTTGGCTATCCTTCTTCTAGAAGTGATGTTTTAGTTCTTGTCTGTTTAAAAGATTTGGTTAGATTAGAGCAAACAATCTGCAAGGCAGGTCTGCGTTAGTTTACAGATGCCCCATGTGCAGGAGTGGGATAGGTAGTACAGAGAGTGTGTGTTGATAGGAAAGGAGAATATAGCAGCCAAACAGCTGCTGCATAGCATGTGTGTGGAGTGAATTATGTGATTGTAGTGGAAAGACAATAGCTTATTTACCCCTTAATCAAAAAAAATTTATACCTTCACTTTGATTTACTCAGGAATGACTCTCTGTAAACTCACCTCTATAAAGACCTAGATTCTCGGATAATATAAATCAGTATAGTCTCACAGATTTCAAATAAACTGCATTGTTTTGTGCCAAAAAGGATTTGCAGATTTGTTTGATTTGTTTCTGTTTGTATCAACAGTTATATTGTATCTTCCTTCTGCTGTAGAAAAGGAAGCTGCAACCAGACAATCCTAGGCTGGATGACATGGAAATCTTATATTCAAACAAGGAGATATTCAGAGGTGGTGGAAGGCCTTGGCATTCTAAAAACAAGCAAACGTTATCCCCCCCAATGCAAAACAAAAAAACCAAAACCCCACAACACTTCATAAATGTGAATGACCTGAAATGGTCTGAAAACATCCAGTAATGCAGTATCAGACTTAAACAGCCACCTGAGACCATGAGTCTTCATTCTTTTTAGTAGTACTATTTACATATATACATACATACATGCTGCTTTCCACTAACGCATCGATTTGAGCCACTTAGTTTTCTGTCACTTCATTGACCTAGGCCTTTTATTCTTATCACTTAATTCTAAAATGATTCTGAATTAATCCGGTGAGTCCAGCTGACTTCCAGTGCAGCGAATAAAAATCAGAACAGCTGAGGTTTTTAAATTTGAGTATATAATCAGGTTTCATAATACTTTGTTACACTGAGCTTTTCTTGTGATGTCTATACCATATAAAGATTTTTGCCTGACAGGGTTCATGATACTTTTTTTCCCCCCCAAGAATTATCAAACAGTCTTGTCTTAGAAAAAGTTCTTCTATATTTCTGACAGAATCTGCTTGTTTCCTACGTTTTCTGACAAAATCTTTCCCCTTTCTCCTCTCAGCGTTCAGGAGATGCTGACAGGTCAGAGGCTTTGTCAGTCCAGTTCCCATAATGATGCTGTCTTGGCAGCCCTGAACCAACAAAGAAGTGATGGCATACTTTGCGATATCACCCTAATTGCTGAAGAGCAGAAATTCCACGCACATAAAGCAGTCCTGGCAGCCTGCAGTGACTACTTCCGAGTAAGTCCAAAGATTTTTTTTTTTTTTTTTTCTCCATATAATAATTTTAAAAATTACCCTGGGAGGCCAGGGATGGTTATAGATATCATACTGAACAAACTTTAAATTTTAGCCTATAGAAAATTCTGGATTATTGCACATTCGGTAGAGTATACAACTTTAAATATCCACATACATGTCATAGGAAAGAAATGTTAAGAACATAATTAAGTTTTTTATCATTATTTATGAATAGTCTTCCTTCCTCCCCAAGAGAGATAGGCAGTACACATCTGTCTATGAATCTTATGTCCCAGTAAAGTCAGAAAGTGGAATATTTTTTTGTAGCACCCAGACATTTGAGACAGTTGTGATTACAGCATGGAAGGATGGGGAGAGGGAATTTCAATATTAATAAACGCAATTTAAGTCAGCTTGAGAGTGGATTTTTGTAGGGATGTAAATGGTTACTCTCAAAGAGGAGGCCATAGTAATTTTTTAAGTGTAATAACACTTATTTTCGGAAACAGTTGTTTCTGAAATGTAAAGATTAAAATATTCCCTGGGAAATCTAATTCAGGTACTCGGCATGGAAAACTGAACCCAGCTGCTAAAATTGGAGTAACTGAAAAATTGAGTTTTCTAATAGGAAGAGCATTCTTCGTATGAAGCAATTCTGCTAACCTTCATTATAATGTACCTGTTCAAAATGTTGGACTGTATAGCTTTTTAGTTGACTGGTGTTTTTAAGTGTGAGTCATCCTGTTGTTATTCAGAGACTAAAGCTGAAATTGGTTTAAAGGTCTGTTTTCTCTAACAAAGTGAGTTTATTTAATATTTGGCCTACATTGTAATTGTAGTGCTATGAAATTCTTTATGGTGACCTTTTTGTTTCGTTAAAATAGTAATACAGTGTATGACAACTGTTCTATATCCTTAATTTCCTGAGCAGAATTTTGATCTTCCTGTCAACTCCGTCTCTCTCTTTTGGTTAGAACTGAAACTTAATTTATTCTGTGTATTTAAGAAATATTGTTAACCTTGATGTTACTTTTACTGTGACGATGTTGAGCCAATTGATTGCTCATTTTTTGAGCTTGTCTGCGTGCTTATATGTTCTGCTACTGGAGACTTTTTACTGCCGTAGCTGCTAATGTTGCTTTGTCACGGTGCCCTGGCCTGCTGTAACACGCATTGTTTACCACTTTTTTCCTTTTACCCCAGTGCACAGAGAGGGATTTTTGGAGCTCTCTAGCTCTAGCAGGTGCTATATATACTTGTTGCTGATAGATATACTACAGGGCTACTGTTCTGATTTGATTGGAATATTTTAATAAGGGTGCCATATCATTCCTCTGCACCTGTGATATACATTCCTTCCAGAGCTCATTGTACCCTTTGCGTAGAAACGTCATAGAGTGGGCAGCTGTACCCAGTGTTTGAGCAGTGTGGTAGCAACAGCTTCTACTTTGGTCACTTATCGATTGACCTTGAGATCTGGGGCACTGTGACTCACCTTATTGTTTCCAATTGAGTTACTTGGTATTTGCTGGACAGTTTTTGCAAATTAAAATCTTAATGCCCTACAGAAAAGAAAAAAAAAAAGTTTTTCAATAGATCAAATTCCAAATTGCTACATAAATCTTTTCTAGTAAAACAAAAAAAAAATACTGAGAGGATGATCTGTGCAGCATTTAGTAATTTGAACTGCCTCAAAATTTTTATAATTTGATAGATGTTCTTCAGACTTTAAGTGTTAGCTATAAATACAGAAATTGTGCTTTCTGAAATCAGCCAAACAGTTTCTATTATTAATAGACAAAAAACTTTGTTAGAAAATTGTGGAATGAGATTTATGTTGTGTAGGAAGATGGCAAAAAAGTTACTATATACTATGTTTCTGATTCTAATAATCTAGAAAAAAGCAAGGGTTGATTCAAAAGTAATAATGTTTTGTATTTAAACTGAGATTATTAATGTTTTTATATCTGGGGGGGATTTTGCCTAATTTGAGCTACCCAAGTATTCATTTTCTAAGATTTAGGAAAATGACACCAAGCTTCATTCAGAGTCAGTGAAGAGAAATGAGCATTTCCAGGGGATGATAAAGGGGGATAGAAGATTTATTTAGAATGAAATGAATCACCATCTGGAAGTGCCAGACTCTCTCTGCACTGGTCATAAAGACTAGATTCACATGCTTCAAACTTAGCTGTTAAAATTACCTAAGATTATTTCTACCCTTTAGTTTTTTCTTGATTTTCTTGGCGGAATTCTTGGAAGAGCCTTGCAGATTTTTCGAACCCTGAAGAAGCCATTGCCATGGGAAACTTGCCTTTCACTAATTTTTGTGAGGTTTTTTTTTTTTCTGTATAAGCTCAGGACTGCAGTGGACAGTATTCTGGGAACATCAGATGTTGGAATTGCCTTGAATAAAAATGAGATGACAACACTATACATCAGTGTGACACAAAACTTGCTTACCGTAGCTTCTGGTTTCTATGGCTTATAGATTTGATTAATATACCAGCCTACCTTCAGCTCTATGTGGAGAGGCTGTCATGCAGTTCACAGATTACTTAAGAAATATGTTCAGTTCTACACAGGGCTCTGTCAAAATGAATCAGCATGATTTTTTGTTTGTTTTCTCTTTTTTGCCACTCTTGTAAAACAGCTTTTACAAGAGACTGGATATTTGCTTTCTATAGAGCCCTTTTTCAGTTTTCTACATGTTCTGTGTCTACTTTGATTCAGATGGAGCTACTTCTGAAATTGTGGTGTTTTCTTGATGAGAATAACAAGTCAGCTGAGCAGCATATGTTTTTTCAAATTGCCACTTATTTCTTTCTTTTACTGCAAAGAAAAGTTTGTTAGCACTTTTGAAGGATAACTAAATGTGTGTCATGTTACAGAATGAGGGAATTGGAGCCACCGTATGTGGAAGAGTGGAGAAGGTCAAACAGAGGTTGCCTTATCAATTTTTCTTTGAGGTTGTAGTCTGGAATAAAATCTTCATTTGCTTTTCTAAGACAAGCCAGAGACCTGAGCTTCAGCAAAATACAAAGGGCCAGCCTTCTAGGGTAACAGCTTGCCATCCCTTCTTCCAGTTGGTATAGTTAGTCTTGTATTTCCAGCTGTGCTGAAACATTGGAATTTAAATCCTAAGCATAGCACCGGATTTGGGAGTTTGTTACATTTGTACACCAAAATGCTATGTGTTTTTCTTTAAGAAAAAAAGCCCTTAGGAAATTGTGTAGAAAGACTGCATTAAAAATGCAGAGTTAAATTGCAAGATTTGACACTTGAAAATTAGGGTTTTCAGTTTTTCTGTTCAGCATCTCCTGAAGGACCTCTTCTTTCAAAATGAGCTAAGGAACACAGTAGTCAGCTCCATACCCTAAAAGACTCATATAAAGAATAATAAACATATGTATTTTTATGAATTCTTTTTTAAGCAACAAACAGTATTTTGGGCAAACTTTTCCATATGGCATGCTGTGATATTTTTTTTTTTTTTTATTTGTCTCAGTGTATTGCAATGAGACAAGGCAGTTGAGTTAGTGAGTATGTGTGCCTTGTGATAGCTCTAGCAAGCTAAGTGATTTCCAATTAAAAGATTCTTTTTCTTTTTTCCCCCTCTGGGAGCAAAATGAAATGTTACTGCATGACTTCATTAGTAGGCATTTACAGTGTTGGCAGGTGATTATATAACCTCAAGATTTTCTTGTACAAAATGCTTTGGTTTTCTAGTCAGAACAACTGCTTCTTCCTTATTTTTCATTTCACTGCATTCATAGTCACAGGACTTTGATCTTTCTCAAAAAGAGGCAGAGTTCCCATGAAATCTGGATGAACAAAATTATATCAATTAACTATAATAGATTTTAAAATGTCAATAATATTCTATTTTTTTCCACAATGAGCATGTTCAAATCTCAGAAGAATCTTTCTTCTCTGAAATGAACTAGTAGATATTAATTTTACATACAGACTTTGTGCTTATAACTGTCACAGTTGATTCTTAAGCAGTTTATTTTCAGGGTTTTTCTGTGTCATCTTTCCTCCCTGTCAACAGAGAATTTCTTTGTGTGTACACAACATTGCTGATTGATTGTATTTTGCAATATATTGCATTGTTTCTTGATAAGGTTAGAGAATTTTTATAAACAAATCCCTGAGGTATGAAAGACTGTATGATGCAAATAGCTTTTGAGGTCTTGTTACATGAATCATAAAAAGGAAAAGGCTCTCCCTAACATGTCTTAGGGATAGATCTAAGAACGTAGTTCTGAGAAATCAGAATTACCTGCTGCTTTTGCAGTATAATGTGATTTTGGTTTTTGGTATTTTACCATTGATGTGTGTGTACCAAACAAACGGTATTATCCTTGCTATTGTATCCTGGAAGTGATGCTACTTAGAAATTGTCTTTCCAGGTAACATTTAAATATGTTAGCTCTTTCCATTGGACCAAATCAACTCTATTGTTCTAGTAACATCTAGTCATTACTGAGACTTTTGTGCCGAAAGAGGCTCTTACCCTCACTTTTAGCTTCCTGTGTAGGTTGAGAAATACTTCCTCTTCTTACATGTCTAAACTTTTCCTGGGATCATTTTAATTTCATTTTCTCAGTTGGAAATTATGATATATTTGAGAAACTATTTTATCCGTATTAATTGCCTAACAGCTTTGGTAGATCGGAGTCATATAGATTCACTGTATCATCTAACGTAATTTCTGAACGAATTTTTTTTTTTTCATTTTTTCCCAAGCATATAGAATCATAGCTTTTGTTAAATGCTGTAGACACCTTTTTTTTTTTTTTTTTTTTTTTTTAATAATTACTGCAGGTTCTTTAACTCAAATCATTCAAAGTATACCCTTCATAAGGATGTTACCTGCTTGTAATGATTTCCTAGCAGGTACCTTGAAGTGAATTCCCATATGCCTCTTGTCTACCTGCAGCTTGCGCCCAAAAGCAGTGTTTTAATGAATTTGAATCCTGAAGTTCTAAGTTAGA